CCAATACAGGTAAAAGGAAAACTTCGAGATTCACTTAGAAGTGGCCAGTTCGGAACTAAAGACCCATTATACTGGTAGAAATTTCAAAAATATGCTACTCTGACAGGTGCAACTGTACTCTGCTAAGACTATAACTGTATTTTACTCTTCAGTTCTCTGTTTCATAAAAGACAATGTAATAACAGCAGTACCAGTCTTTCAGGTAAGACTAAGTACTCCCTTAGCCTTGAGTGGACATGAGTGATCAAAGGTCTTTGCAAGAAGATAAGCACAAACTCAGTAGAACCTCCTTAAAGTTCAAGGAGACTTCAAGAATTATGGAGACTGATGACTACTTTGCTAGAAAACTTAAAGTTTTGAATGGTAACATGGGTCCTACTTCTTTAAATGCCTCTGGCAAACATGAAAGTAATCAAAATAATGGTACACCTGCTATGCCTAAAATGGGTGTTCGTGCTAGGGTATCGGAGTGGCCTCCTAAAAAAGATTGCTCTAAGGAATTAACTAAAGCTACTTGGGAAAGTAGACCTCAAACCAGTTATGAGAGTGTTGGATCAATACTTCCAAATGGACAAAATGACCAAAGTGATGGACAACAGGGACAATTGGATCTGGAATTTGCAGAGGCCAAGTATACCATAGGAGATCTTTTTGTCCATTCTCCCCAAAGGGGACTTCACCCTATAAGGCAAAGAAGCAACAGTGATGTCACCATAAGTGATATTGATACTGAGGATGTATTGGACCAGAATGCTGTTAACCCAAATACGGGAGCAGCTCTTCATAGAGAATATGGAAGTACTTCTTCAATTGATAGACAAGGTTTGTCTGGTGAGAATTTTTTTGCAATGCTTCGAGGATATCGAGTGGAAAACTTTGAACACAAAAGTCTTGCTCCATTTGGATTTCCTGAATTTTTCCACTGTGACTCTACAATTTCTCCAAGTCTTCATGCAGCTGCACAGATTTCCAGAGGAGAATTTGTCAGAATTTCTGGATTGGATTATATGGATAGTGGCCAGCTTATTGGTAGGGACAGGGATAAATCTTTCAAAAGGAGATTAAAATCAGAAGCAGTAGAAACGTCTCTATTTAGAAAACTGCGGACTGTTAAAAGCGAGCATGAAACTTTCAAATTTTCATCTGAACTGGATGATGGAAGACTTGAGAGAAACATTCGTTCTTGGAACTGTCAGAAGTGTTTCTCCCATTATGATGTTCAGAGCATTTTATTTAATATAAATGAAGCAATGGCTACCAGAGTTAATGTGGGGAAAAGAAAAAATATTACCACTGGGGCTTCAGCTGCATCCCAAACTCAAATGCCAGCAGGCCAGACAGGAAATTGTGAATCTCCTTTGGGAAGTAAAGAAGACCTTAATTCAAAAGAGAATCTAGATGCTGATGAGGGTGATGGGAAAAGCAATGACCTAGTGTTGAGTTGCCCTTACTTCAGGAATGAAACTGGTGGGGAAGGAGATAGAAGAATTGCACTTTCTAGGGCAAACTCAGCATCATTTTCTTCAGGTGAAAGCTGTTCCTTTGAGTCCTCTCTAAGTTCCCATTGCACGAATGCTGGTGTTTCAGTACTGGAGGTGCCAAGAGAAAATCAGCCAATTCACAGGGAGAAAGTAAAGCGATATATCATCGAACACATTGATCTTGGAGCATATTACTACCGAAAGTTCTTCTATGGAAAAGGTAAAGTCTCCCTTTGTACCTTCTTTCTCCCCAGTTGTGTACATAATGGGTTTAATTGATGTTGATATTTAGCTTTTTATAAAAGGGTCTTTCCTTTAAGGTAGGAGAGTCAAAGATCCAGCCAGATCCAGTGCATGGAGCTTTATCATCCAGCCCTCAGTGCTGCTTGCTGCAATGCAGCATGTCTTGGAACTGGCCTCCATGCTCATACCAAGTGCAGAGCCAATCTGGTATGGACTGCACATGGTGCAGGGCTGGACTAGGGTATGCACTGCATACAGTGTGAATGCTGGATCTGAGTCAGTCCAGATTAGGTCTCTAGGTGGGTTGCATGTGCTGGATCCAGCACATGGGGCCAGTCTGGTATGGGTACCACTTGCAGTGCATACTCTGGACCAGCCCTGTTCACATACTGGAGGCAGTGCATGCTGCAGACAGCACGTGACGCTGATCCAGGGCATGAAGTGTATGTGTTGTATACATTGTATTAACCAGCTCTGTATGATGGATCCATTGCACAGGGCTGGTCTGAGATGGGCGCTCCGTGCAGCGTGTGCTCCGGATGGGCCCTATG